ATTTATTCTATATTCGCTATTAAGGAAGAATATCCAGTAATAAGCTAGTAATAACAGTCATGGGTTGTGTTTGTTCCACCCTCCCACTACCTTCATCCCCAAAAGAAAAATATGTAGTTTTGCCAACTTAAAAAAAATCATGAAATAAAACAGATACTGACGTAAGAACCAAATGCTAGTCCAAAGTGGCACTGCAGTGACACTGTTTCTACTTTTCGTTCCTTCCCCCAGTCTCACACCCCGCCCTTTGACCTCCGTATATGGGATGAGCCTGAGCAGGAGAGTTGGTGATGTCAGGACTGCGCCGTTCCCACGGATGCTCCTAGAGGCCTGCTGTGCTTCTGGGAACTGGGGCACAGGGATGTCTGTCTGACTGAAACCTAAAACAACAACAGTTCACCCCACCCCTCATGTTCCCAAACCCCACAACAGCAGCAGCCAGGTATATATGCTCTATAAGGCCCACCTAAGAAGTTTGAATATGGTGACATCTAAAAGCAAGATCGTTCTTCACGAGTCAGTGGTATTCGACGGGGGCAGCAGAATCCTGGAGGCTGTTAAACTCTCTGTGCCCTATGAAGTCACACAGTCTACACAATTCTAACGCTGGCCATTTTTATCAGCAAGAGAACAAGGTTCTCCTAAAACAAGTCTCTTGTAAGTATACATCTGACATTCCTACAAGAATGCAATTGGGATTCTTGTTAGTAAACTTCAGTTCAACAGGCAAGTATTTTTGTCCTGTGATGCTTAGGGGAGGGGCTTTGCCGATCTTAAACATGAGCTAATTGTAGCACAGAAAAGGCCACTGACTTATCACAAGCCTTCATTCAGCTGTAGAAAGAGCATCACAAGGCAGTCCTTTCTATTCACTAACTGATGACTTACTGGGCTCACAGCCTCTTTGGATAGGACATCTAAAGCCACAAGATAACTTAGGCAGAAGCGTATCTTGAAAAGGTCCTGGCCACTTTCACTCACTCAAATTCTACCTATTAGAAAAGAATTATCTCCCAAAATGATAAAAACTTGTATCAGAGTTAAAACTTTAGAAAGGATAGGAGAAAGGAGAAAAGGGTAGCGGACTGGAGTAGACAGAAGAGAAGATAATTTATTAACTGTCAAGAAGGCTATTAAGTGCACAGGCCATAGTCAGTCCTGTTCCTGCCACTAACTCTGTTTAATCTACTTACTTAGCCATTTTGTGTTTCACTATGTTATCCTCATCTGTTCAATGCTCTAACTTTAGAATGATGGAACGAATTTTATGATTTTAAACTGCTCTCATTGATTGGTATCCCCGTGAGAACTAGTGCCTCAGAAATGCTAAAATAATCAGTTCTGAAATCACATTGCTCCTAAAATAATTAAAATGCTTTCTATTACCTGTGTCTTGTTATTCCCTTCACTTTCATTAATGATGTCACAGAAGAAGCAGCATTAAGTCCAACTGAATGCTAGTGAGTGTTTACCATATGTGTAACCTACCACCTAATTTTACCTTTTCCAAAATTCTAGTTTTCCATACCTGTCCACTGCTAATTGATGCCTTTATACTGTGAGCTCACTGTGTATTCGGAACACCAACCCCTGGAAAAGCTTAAGCCAGAGCAGCAAAATGGAAGAAACAAGCAAACCCAAAACAAAAATAAATCCAAAAAAGTCACACTCTTAATTATAGACATTTATGCAAAGAATGGAGTTCACTAAGGGCTAAACAAAATCCCCTAAGAAAGTCCTGAGTTCATCCCAACCAATTCAAACTTCACCCAGGAAGTTCTTCTTAAACCGAATTATTTACTACTTATATTTATTCATTATTTTCTTTGAATGAGAATTATGACAAACCTATGGTTGACTTTAAAGTACACAAAGGAAGGAAATGTTTTACAAAAGAAAGTTAAGTTAGGTTAGCCTTGTGATGGAAAGAAAGGAGAAAGAATCAAATTACCTGCAGGCAGGCTGGGGCTGTGCCTGAATCCAAACCGCTGCATCTACCACTCATTACACAGCTGCATTATGGGGGAAGGGGAGTTTAGAAGGGCACTGACCCCGAAAGTTCTCAATACTTCTCACTCATCATCAGGAAGGGGGAAGAAGGAAAGTTTTTTCTCTGGGTATTTTTTTGTTTGTTTGTATTTGTTTTTTTGGCTCCTGAAAGGCTGGCAAAGAACAGTAACAGTGCAAGCAGTTAGAATGTTTCTTTAAAACAATTTTAACAACGCAAAACATTAAGGAATTTAAAAGGCCAAACTTTCATTAATATAGAAAGAATTTTCACTACAGTAAGACAGCCACCCCAAAACAGCATGGCAAAAGGGCATTGGCATAAAGGAAATAAAATACCACACAAAAATCCAAAACAAAACTGAAAGCATTTCAAATTAAACCTGGAAGACTAGAAGATTCCAACAGCAGATTTTTGTCCACTACTGAAACATTCCAAAATCCAAGCGTCAAAGGCGCCTAAATGTATTTTAAATGAAACTTTGCTTTGGTTTTTAAGAAAAAAAAAGAAAGAAAGAAAGAAAGCAGTGAACCTCGTTATAAATCCTGCAGTATTATTACATTTTTTAAAATCCTAGTACAATATAAACAAATTTTAAATAAAATTAAACAAACAAACAAATAAAAGCAGTAGCAGCAGAGGTTACCTGTCTGAGCACCTACATTTTCTTAGGAGGGGATCGTGTCTCACCAGCCAAATAGCCCATAAACCTTCTCAAAAAAAGTGAGCCAGGAGAAAAATATAACACAAGATTTGATTTCACAATGCCTCTAAGCCCCCCAAACCCCAAACTAGGGATTCACTGAATGAAGAAAACTGGTTTTTCCATCGCTTTCTTCTTGAGAAAAAGAAGAGATGATTTTGAAAGTCAACGACTTCTTTCAATGCCTTCGATACCTTCTCAAAGTCTGATAAAGCACTTGATGAAAGCAAGTCTCTTGTTGAATTTTTCTACTGTTCCAGGGTAGTTTTCTTATTTATAGCATACACACAAAGATTTCAAAGTTCATTGGAGAAAAGCCAGCAGAAATGATCAATTATATGTACCAAAAAAAGGAAAAAAAACTATTAAAAAATTTAAATAAAATAGTTCATACTTTGTGTGTGTGTGTGCGTGTGTGTGTATAAAGTCCAGTTTTTCATCATGGAGGACATAAAAACAATTATAAGAAAATTATTTTAAAGTACAATTTGGAATTACAATTTTAACAATATACAAAAATTTTACAATAATCCAGATTTTTGGCATAGTGATTATACATATTTGATAAATACATTTTTACCTCTCATAATAGCAACAAAGATTACACAAAAGTTATTAAACAATTATGAAAATAAATTTAACTTTCACTTAAATATCTGCTGCTGTTTCGAGTTCTTCCAGAATGACTTGTTATTCTTTACCTTAATTTTTAAAGGAATTTTAGGGAATTCAAGAAAATGTCCATGTTTTTAACACCTAAGATGAACATTCCTGATCTTTCCATTCTAACATGTGAGTACAACTCAAAAGTAGGTTGATAAAGCTATCTTTTAATATAGTGTGACTGCACAAAGGAGGGATTAAATAGTGAGTAAAACTATAGATGGAATAATTTCAGATAGTCCTTATAATATACTTGGTTAATTTGGTAATTTGTAAAAGTTAAAAAAAAAAAAAAAAAAAAAAAAAAAAAAGAGCTAACTATATTTTTTCTGGTCCCTTACCCCACCAACCTAAACCTTGAGTTTTTCATCAACTAAGCTGTTCTATATCTCTGTGTTTTTAGATGTATTAGTCTACATACACTAAGTATATAACTATTCAAAGTAAATATATCATATGTGGCAACCAGATGATGTAAGATTGATGACTTAATTAAGCAGTTCTTTCCCCTCATTTATTTCTCTATACCAAATAGAATGCATCCTCTAAAGTATGTTCATTCAGTAAAAGTACCAGGTATTTCTTTCTATTACTGAGTCAACGGTACTTATATATGTATGTGAATTCCCAATAACCCTGAACAAGTCAAATTCAAACTCTTCTGGATGTGATTAGAATATCCTAAAATAAATTAGAAACTCCTCTTAAGCATCTTTTTTCTGAGGTGAAATGAGACACTGCACAGATTATAGGTACTATCTATTCGTCAACAATCAACCTTTCCACTCCATTTTAATATTATATTTAATTCTATGGAAAAAAACAAACTTTATTACATTCCTTTTTAAAACGGGGGAAAACTGTACAAGCATGATCAAACCTCTGTTAGAGCTGGTTAATACTGATCTTTTATTATTGCCTCGTAGTCTCTCTAGTAGTGTCCGAGAAATTATGTGTTAAGGTCCATCTGAAGGAAAATAGCACTGGAGAGGCAAGAAAGGGCTTGGGTAAAAGCTTGAGAAGATTTGTAGGGAGATGGAACTGGCTGTTTAAAAAAATTACGTTGAGTTCTGCAGCATCTCCATTTCTTAACATACCTTCCAAACCCATCACTGGGATAGTTCTACCCATGTCTTAAAGGCTCGTATTATATGCAGTTTGGGGGCTTTTATAAATTCCAAAAGTAAAGGAATATAAAGAGTGGACAGTATTGAAGGCTTAAGAGCAGGGCTATAAGAGACTCAATACTGCTAAATAAGTCCCCAAACAAAACCATCCAGCCCACCCTAACCCAAATCCTATGTGGAAATGAGAAAATGTGTAGCCAAAAGCATTGAAGAAAAGCATTTAGCCTCAAATAATCATACACTGAACAGTCTAGAAACAAAAGAAAAAAGCAAAAACAATATACATATACACAAAAAGGCCAGAAAGCATCTATCCTCCATATGTCTTAAGGTGAATACTTTTACCCCACTGAGGTCTACCCCAGTGAGGTCTAGTTATGGAAGCAAATCATTTGCTTTTTTGAGGTCAAAAACCGAGTTCCCCATCATGCTCCATTTTCTAAAATCTATCCTTTCTGATTGAATGGTATAAACAAAAAGCAAAACACATACACATGCATGCGTGCACACACATACATATATACTCCCTCGTAAAATGTGAAAAATGCATGTTAACACTGGTATTAAAAATCACTTCAATTTATACTTAAGAACATATAGGCCCTTGATTCCCCCCACCCCAAAATATTTTTCCTTTCCTTGTCCTTATTCTTTAAATGCCCAACCACCAAAAGAAAAAAATGGAAAAAATAAAAGGCTTTAAGTGTACATGTTTCAAGTCAGTGTCTTGTTAACGAAAAAGGTAGCATTTTCTTCACTTTGGCCATTGTTAAAGATACAGGCATAGAGCAGGGAATGTTAGACTAGCATGTATTAAAAAAAAAAAAAAAGGGCAACATTAACAGAGCATATATCTTTCAAAAAAGACTAAAACAATAACAAATACAAGTCAATGCACATACTTTAAACTAGCGTAATTTTTATCTACATTGAGTAAATGTTATTTTGTACCCAGACATTGCAATACTGTTCATTTCCCTTTCATCATGCAAACATGCCAATTTTGTCATTAAAGAGCCTTTATTGGGTTATACTCTTTGCCCTCCCACCCAAATTAAAAGAAAAAGCAAAGACAAAACACAAAAATAAATCCCAATAAAAGAGCACCTTGAGATTGCATAAACAACTATGAATTAAAGCTGCTAGTTGATGTGGAAATGGCAGAATATTCAGATTTGCATATTTTTAAAATTCCCAAAATTTAGGCAGATTTTTTTTTACCCATTATAAATCTTGCAACACAATATGAAGCTATACTACTCAGCTATTTGTACCAAAACGTTTTTTGTACAAAAATAAAAGCGAGGAACTATGAAACAATGTGTATGTTCCTCATAGCTTGAGAGCATACAATAGTTTTTATTAATTTAAAAGGGTAACTGAGAGCCTGGCGTTTTTCTATATCCCACCACTTCTGCCTCTCCATCTGTAGGGTTGGTAAATGAAAACCAGTAATACCTTACTAGCAGAGGTCTCACCTATCTCCCCCCTCTCTTCTCCAACTAATTCTACTAATTCTCTCTCAATGTTCCTGAGCACCCTTCATGAACAGCATTGCAAGTTGGTTTAAAAAAAAGAAAGAAAGAAAAAGAAAGTAAGGTTTACAAAGGTTTTGTTGGTTAATTATTTACCAGTGGAGTCACTCCACCAGGAGTTTGATTTCATTGGCTAGCAGCTGGTTCATGTTGAACAGGCCCCCTGGGAGCTTGGTGAGCAGCTCTCGCTCGGTGCTTTCAGGGTCGCTGTCAACAGAGCTGGAACTTGCGCTCATGCTGTCGACAGCAGTGCTGGCTGGGGGACCCAGCTCCGGCTCACTAGTCTCACTGGCCGTGGACACCACGGAGAGCAGGGACATACGCCGGGTGAGCCGGCCAGAGGGCAGAAGGGAGGCGGCATAGTCCGCTATGATACCAGCTACGTCTAGATTACAAGCCTTATCAAAGGCGATGAAACCTACATTTGCATTGGCCTCGCAGACACAGAAGGAGCCGTCGTCTTTCATCAACAGATCAATGCCACACACATCCATTCCCAGGATATTGGACACCTGGATAGCTAGCTGCTTCCCTTGTTCACTCAACGAGCACATCATCCCTACGCCACCTGGAAAAAGGGAAGCAAGACAAGGAGTTACCAAAATCGTACTTGTGTTCAAACTTACAGTTATCATTTCCTATTTACACTGAATTGCTGTACATCTTTATGACATACAATGCAAAGCATACATCCGGTATGTGATAAGCAAGTATATTACTATATACGTAGTTTTCAACGAAGAATCTTACATGACTGTGTGTATTAAGATTCTTTTTCCTAGCCCTCCTAGCCATCCCCATGATGAACTTCTGAGGCAAACAAGCTGACCGGTGCCAGCAGGTGACATGGTACCTAAGGCACTGGATTGCCTTAAATTTTGTTTAAGAATAATTTATTTAATTTTATTTACTATTATTATTATTACTTTAATTTTGCTATAAAGCTTCTGGATCTTTAGGTAGCTGACTTGGGCTTTAGTATCTGAGAGAAAGGAATTAGGACTGCACCTTCTTGCTTGGAGACTAGCTTCAGAAAGCTCTGAACTAAGGGCCAAAATGAAAAGATCTTTGAGAAAAGCCTGACTGAAAGATTCTGTGTGTCCACAAGAGTAAAGCATTGAGTACACACCAGCTCTCTTTGACCCTAAACAGGCCAAAAAGTGGCTGGAAGATGAGCTAAGTACTCTCCACCTCCAAGGCTAGAAGAACAGAGGAGCATAGGAATGAGCACAGATTCTTAAGAACCTGAGGAGAAAACTAAAATAATGGTCCATAGCTTGACTCTACTTCCCAGCATCTGAGGCCATATGGAAAACCAGAGCTGAGTGAGCTCTGATGTGACAATAACAAAATGGCAACCCAACTATAACTTTAATGAAAGAAACAAGGGCACTTCAAGAAAATTTAAGTTCGGCATGAAGACTTTCTAAAACCAAAGCAAAAACAAGACTAGGCAACTAAAAAACCTCCAGTAGAAGAACTAAACAGAAATACAATACAACTGAGAATCGACTTAAAAAAAAAATCAAGAGTACGGGGGCCAGCAAGTGGCATGGGGTTAAGGTGCTGGACTCCCACACAGTCAACTGCAGTTTGAGTCCCAAATCTAGTGGCTTTCTCTCTCTCGCTTTCTCTCTGGCACAGAAGTGAACTGTAGCAAATTTAAAATAATAATTATAATAATTAATAAAATGTAATTTAAAAAATCAACTGTAAGAAATATTTAAAACACAGACAAAAAGCAGATGGCATAATGGTTATCTCCGGACTCCCATGTATTTGACTGCAGTTTGAGTCCCGGACCCAGCGACTTAAACTCATGCCAGGCGCATGCACGTGCATGCCCAAGATCCTGACAGGAGAAGGGATTGTGGCATAGCTATCCCCCTGGAGGGTGACTTCTTGCTTTCTCTCTATCTCTCTGGTGAGCACATGTACCCTATAGCAAAAATCTCTCTTGAAAGAAAGAAAGAAAGAAAGAAAGAAAGAAAGAAAGAAAGAAAGAAAAAGAGAAAGGAAAACAGAGAACTGGATCAGAAAAACAAACAAACAAACAAACAAACAAAAAACCTCCAGAAAGAGGGAAACAAATGGAGAGGTAATAATTAAAGAAGACATTTTCTTGAAACTATAGGAGAAATGTAAGTTTATTGATTACAACAGCTTGCTAATATCCTGGTTTGACTGATAAGAAAAGATGCACATCTAAATATATCCCAATAAAATTTTTGAGCTCTACTCCAGTCCCCAAAAACCAACAAAGCAATTTATAAAGAAAAAATTACTTACAAAAAAACCCAGAGGTGTTTGGACCTTCATCTGCAACAATGAAACCTTCAAGGCAGTAGAACTGAATATGGATTCTGATAACATAAGAACTGCATCTTGGCTAAGGTATCATTCCCCTCTCCCAGAGAAAGGTTTTATGAGGGTCTCTAGCACTCATATATCCCACCGGGAAAGTAATCCAGAGAAAATACTAACATCTAGTAAATGGCTAAGAGTGATCTCAAAATACTAGAAGATGAAGATGGGGAGTGAAACAATGGCAAGTAATCAATGTTACGATTTAGGTATAATTAATTTTATTTACTTATTTTTAAAAGTTTATTTCCCTCACAAGGGTCAGAGTGCAAAAGAGAGAAAGGCACCCCTAACAGGGTCTTTTTTAAAAAGGGCTTCTTGGGCCGGCAGGTGGCATGGTAGTTAAGGGCACTGGATTTCCACATGGCCAACCACAGTTTGAGTCCTGAACCTGGTGACTTGCTTTCTTGCTTTCCGCCCCATCTCCCATCCCCATCCCTCTCTGGTCAAATTAAAAAATAAATAAATAAAGTTAAATAGAAATAATTCTCTTTTTTTTGGGGGGGAAAAAAAAAGCTTCTAAGTACAGACTAATAAAGACATGTAATTTTGATGACCAAGGTAGAAGAGATCTTGCTCTATCAGACCTCTAGGCATAATGCCAGAAGACTTAGGAGGAAAAAACAGTGCAACAGACCAGACGGTACTGAAACACTGATGCATATATGGAAATTCAATGCATTCCATCTCTCTCTCTCTCTCTCTCTCTCTCTCTCTCTCTCGCTGGCACACAGGCATACCCTCTGAAATTGAAGGGGAGGGGAGGAGAGGGAAGAGGGAAGAAGAGAGAGGAGAGGAGGGGAGGGGAGGGGAGGGGAGGGGAGGGAAGGAGAAAAAGGTGGGAGTGTGTGTGGTGTGTGTATCTCCCTGTGTAGCCATTAACTAGTCTGAGACATAAGTATAGGTATAGGTATAGATTTATACCTATAGGTATATAGGTATCTTGTTTATGCTCCCTGATAATATCTTCCTCTCCTGCCCAAATTCTATTTATCTTTTTATCTGTCCCATATTTACTTTAAGTATCTCTACCTGTATTCCTAATAGACATTACTTTGCACATTACAAAACAAAATATTTTGTTATAGAACATTTTTCTCTGTGGGGAACCAGCAGTTAGCGTAATGGCTATGTCGCTGGATTCCCACGTAGTCGACCGCGGTTCGTGTCCCGGACCCGGTGTCTTAAAACTCACGCCAGGCGCGTGTGCGTGCGTGCCCAAGATCCCGAGAGGAGAATGGAGGAGAAGGGATTGCGGCGTGACCATCCCCCCTGGGGGGTGATTTCTCGCTTTCTGTCTCTATGTCTCTCTCTGTCTGCCTGGCGAGCGCACGCGCCCTACAGTGAAAAATCTCTCAAAAAAAAAAAAAAAAAGAACATTTTTCTCTGTGTTATAAAGCTTTACACCCATGTTCACTGTTTCTCTCACTTAGCACATTCTTAGATTCATCCATGTAAACACGTATAGCAGTAGTAGTTGGTTCACTTTCACTGCTGTATACATTTTGCATTAGTTGTTTTCAGTTTGGGGCTATTCTTTAATAATATTTTCTTTTTAATTTGATAGAGAACTTATGTGTTCACTGGAAAGAGAGGGCAAGAGAAAGTGAGAAAGTTACACTCATCACCTAGGAGAATGGCCATGCTGCAATGCAACCCCTTCTCCTCTATTCTCTCGGGATTTTCGGGGATGGACGCACACACACCCAACATCCTTTCAAGCTACTGGGTCTAGGACTTGAACCATGCAGTTGGCCGTGTGGGATCCAACTGCCTTAACCACCACACCACCACCTGGCCCCTAGTTTGGGTTTCTCCCCCACTGATCCAATTGCCAGAGGATGTGTGTACTCGTCAGAGTAAGGAGAAAAAAGCACCCTCCAGTGGGGCATGGTCATGCCACCAATCCCTCCTCCATTTCTCCATTTTGTCAGGATCCTCGGTACACATGCACACATGTCCACTATGTTTTTCAAGACATGGGATATGGGATTCAAACTATGGTTAGCCATGTAGGAGCTAGCTTTCCTAACCACTATGGGACTGGCCCAAGAATCCTTTACGTTATTCTTTTACCTTGTCTTAAACTTCAGTGACCTCAAAAGAAACTTTAAAGAAAGCATTAGCTTTTAATAAAAAACTGTATTACTTTTTACATTCCTATTGCCTAATGTATAGGTAAAGGTGAACTGGAAAGGAGATGTTATTCAGCTCAATTCCAGCTAATAAACCTGATGTGTTATGATGGAGAAACTTAAAATAGGATATATGAAGAAACTAATTCAAGGGCACCCACAGATGGCATAATGGTTACATCACTGGACTCCCACATAGTTGCCTGCAGTTTAAGTCCCAGACCCGGCAGCTTAAAACTCATGCTGGGAAAATGTGCATGCATGTCCAACATCCCAAGAGGAGAATGGAGGAGAAGGGATGTGGCGTGGCCATTTCCTCTGGGGTGATTTCTCCCTTTCTGTCTCTCTGTCTCCATCTCTCCAGAGAACACACATGCCCTATAGTAAAACGTCTCTTTAAAAAAAAAGAAACTAATTCAAGGAGGCAGAAATCATTTCTCAAGAGTAGAAAGTGGGATTTAATAACTAATAACTTTCAAATCTATAGAGGCTATTCCATATTCTCAGGATATCATAAAACTGAATTCGTTGCTTTTCCTTTATTGTTCTGCTACATGTTTATATTTCCAACAATGCACTGCTTAGTTTCATATATACTTATATTTTATATAACTGGAATATTACATGTATGCCCTTCTGTGACTTGCATTTTTAAATTAGCATTTTACTTTTTTAAAGAATTAATTTAATTTTATTTATGATAATGATGGTGATGATTTTAATTCATCAGAGAAGGGCAGAGAGTGAGAGAGAGAGAGAAGTGAGAAGAAAAGCAAGCCGCCAGGTCTGGGACTTGAACCACGATCAGCCATGTGGAAGTCCAGTGCTTTAACCACCACGCCACGTGCTGACCCCTCAACATTTTATTCTTGAGATTTACCCATATGGTTGAAGATCTGAGAGAGGTAATTAGGGATCAAACTGTATAGGGCCTGGTAGGCTACTGAAAGAACTTGGGATTTTCTCTCAATGAGAGGGGGAACTATGAGAGGATGCTGAGCAGGGCTTGGCTTAACTTGACCTAAAATGCAGAATGTCCTGTCATACATCACTGCTGTGTTAGGATGACACTAGGAAGTGAAGGGGAGAACCAAGATCAATTAAGAGGATACTACATGTAACCCAAATAAGAGATGACCATATTAGTGGTGGAGATGGTTGAAATGGTCAGATTCGAGAATAGAGACTTCAAGATGTTTCGGACAGTTTACTTATAAAGAAGGGGAAAGGTGATTCTATGGTTTAGGTCTAAACTAGAAGGATACAACTGTCTTTTAAATAAGAACAAAACTTGAGTCAGAGATGGTGTGGTGGTTAAGGTGCTGGATCCCACATGACCAACTTCATAGTTTGATTCCCGGACTCATGGCTTGAAAAACACACCAAGCACACGTGCACGTGTGCATGCATGCCCCAAAAGTGAGAAGAGAATGAAGAAGGGATTGTAGTGTGGCCATGCCTCCTGTGGGAGGGCGGGGGTGATAGCTCACTTTCCGTGTCTCTTTCTAGCAAGCACATGTGCCCTATGGCAAAAACTAAAACATAAAACAAGTAAGGAGAAAACTATGGGTAGAACACATTGTAAGGAGCAGTCAGATTGGGAGATCAGTTTCGTAGATATTGAGGAGGTACTTACACGTTGCATATTCAAAAAATTTATGGAAAATGCACACTATGAAAACCTGAACAGACTTCAAAAAACTTTTTCAGGGGAAATCTCTTACATAATGAGCTCAAATGGCTTGGTAGTATAGACACAGTTTCACTTGACAGCAGAATAACTTTTCTTTTCTTTTTTTAAAAGATTTTTTTTCCCATAGGGTGAACAGATTTGCCAGAGAAAGAGAGGCAAAGTGAGAAATCACTCTCCCTTTCCCCGGGAGAAAGTCCACACCTCAATCCCTTGTCATCCATTCTCCTCTTGGGATCCTGGGCACATACATGTGCTCTGTGTTTCTTTTTAAGCCACCGGGTCAGGAACTTGAACCACAGAGTTGATCATGTAGGGTCCACTACCTTAATCACCACACCACCTGCTGGCCCAGGACGACTTATAGAATTACTACTGGTGGCTGGAAAGTCCAAGGCATAGGCCAGCATCACATCATTGCCAAGAAAAGCAAAGGATGGTGAGTGTAAGCGGACAGGGGGGAGCTTTGAAATTTTTGGTACCAAAATAAAGTCATACTTTAATTCCATTTTTCCACCACTTTTTTGATGTCCTGTCATATGAGCCTGAACTTCAGGAGAAAGCCTAAACTGGAGATTGAGATTTGAAAATAATAAGCATTTAAATGGCATTTAAAGCCATGAGCTGGATAACATTACTGTAAGTGATCTAAACGGAGAAAAAACCAAACAAACACAGACTAAGCTCTGATACACTTCAACAGTAAGAAATCTCTGAAAATACAAGGTTAAATAAATCAAAACCAACAATCTTATTTATACCAATGGGTACAATGTGTTAGGTCACGGCTTAGATGAACTCCAATTACACACAAAATAAATGTATCACTAAAGAGGCCATCTCTTATTCTGGTTAGATATCTCATACTATGTGAATAGGGTTGTAAATTGAGCCTGGAATAAAGCAAACTTGTGAGTGAGTGAAATCTAATTCCATTATTAGAAAAACCCAAAAGTATATTTATCACATGAAGAGTATGTCTATGAACAGTAATTACATGTGAATAATGTTTTCCACCTTAAGTAAAAAGACCTGTACTGTATACAGTTATCTACAAGCACGAGTTGCAACGTTACTTTACATAGGAGGATGACACCTGCACTGTTCTTACCTAGTGAGCAGTTGCTCTGCATCCTCCCATCTGTTGAACAACGTAACATGGTGCCAACCACACGGCCTCCAACGACAATGACGCGTACATCCCGTCCATGAGACTCTTTAACATACTTCTGGAACAGGTATGGAGCTTCATGGCGAATAAGATGGCTTAGGTCAGCCAAATGGTGCTTATCTCGAGCCAAGAAAACAGCTTTGCCTATAATGGAGAAAGAATAAAAAAATATGATACGTCATCAAAGTGTGGACGGTTAATTTCTATTATTTGCATCTTTCCTTTTTACTTATATTTTTTAATTAGAGGGCATGTGCATTTGCCAGGAGGGAGACAGGGGAGGAAGGGGGGATTGAAAGTATCTCCCGGTGGGGCACGATCATGCTCCAACTCCTACTATTTCTCTCTCTGTAAGAACTTTGGGCATACACACACACACACGTGCCCAGGGCTGGCATTCAGATTGCAGTTGGCCATGTGGGATCTAGCTCCCTTATCCACTATGCTATGGAGCCAAAAGCCCTCTCCCATTTTACCTTTATTTTTAATTGACAACATAAGAGTTTTACATATTGGGGCCAGCAGGTATCTTGAAGATTAAGGTGCTAGGTCTCACATGGCCATCTGTATGCTGTGAGTCTCAGACTCAGCAGTTTGAAAGTCATGCCAGGCACATGTGCATGTATGTCCAAAATTCCAAAAAGTTATGGGAGAAGGGATTACAGTGTGGGTGTGTGTTGCCTGGAGTGTTCAAGTCAGTCCACTTCTGCACCACTGTAACTGGGCCAGTGGGAGATGTCCATGGGGAATGATTTCTCACTTTCTCTCTCTCTCTCTCCCTCTCCCTCCCCTCTGGTGAGTACACATAACAACATACAGCAAAAACTAAAAACAAAATAAAATAAAACACTAAATAAAACAAAATAAACGAATAAAATACTTAGGTATTCATGTTTATGGAATACTTGAGTCATTTAAATAATAACTACATGTTCATGGGTACAGTTTGACTTTTTAAGAACATGAATTACAACATGTAATGATCAAATCAAGGAAATCAGCACATGCTAATTCAAGTATTTATTTTGTGTTGGGAGCATCCAAAATCCTCTTACGGTTTTTTTGTTTGTTTGTTTTTTCCATTTTGCTATGGCATATATGCACTTACTAGAAAAGGAAAGAGAAGCCCCCAGAGGGTTTGGCCATGCTATAATTCTCTTTCTTCCATTGTCCTCTTGGGATTGTGGACATGTACACATATGTACCCAGTGTGTTTTTCAAGGTGCCAGGTCCAGGACTTGAACCTTGTAGTTGGGCAGGTAGGATCCAGCTCCCCTAACAACCATGCCACCAGCTGGCCCTACTTATTCTAAAATATATAATAAATTAACTCCAATTAACCTACTATGCTATAGAACACTAGAACTTTTTCCTCTTATCTAACTTTAATTTTATATTCATTAACCAACATTTCTTTCATTCTCTTTTAGCCTCTCATAATCACTATTCTATTCTCTACTTCTATGAGATCAACATTTGTAGTTTTCATATCTGACTGAGTATATACTATTACATGCATCTTCATAAACACTCATCTGCTCTTCCACAACCAACTGCACTTTATTTTTTATTAAAAATTTTTTTTAATTTAATTTAATTAACTTATTAATTTAATTTGACCAGAGAGCTAGAGAAAGGGAAAGTGAGAAAGTGGGCCACCAGGTCTGGGAACTGAACAACAGCTGGACATGTGGGAGTCCAGTGCCTTACTCACCACACCACCTGCTGGCCCTGCACTTTATTTCTTAAGGTAGAACACCAAGGTAATTTAGATATGGTAATTAGTGAGACAATGCAAAAATGTGTAAAGATGAAGTTAATAATCTTCTGCCATTCTCCCAATCCTCAAACTCTTATGTTCCACTAGAATTTATTTTGGTGTACTGTGAGACATATTCGTATTCTACACTGAATTACTCCAGAGGTTAGCCACTAATGCCAGCCTCACTATTCCCTCTGAGTTAAGAAACGGGCCCAGTTACATTGGTGCAGAAGTGGACTGACCTGAACACATCAGGCAACCTCATGATCCTGGCTGGCATGGAGGCTGGGGGAGGACTGTAGAATGGTAATGGTGAGACCCTATCAGGGGTACCTGTCTGATATGACTGTCTCTCATGAAAAGAAGAAAATAAATTTTACAAATAAAAAAAAAAAAAAGAAAAGAAACATTTTAGTATACAAATCACTACATACAGCAGCACAGCAACATGTTAATGCATTTTCTAGTCTGTTCCATAGCTCTATTTCTGAACCAATGGAAGTGGCTAATTTTTACGTGGGTGTAAATTTCTCCTGGGATAGGGCATGGAATCTATGTTACTTCTTGAATCTAGGAGGGTTTATGATTGCTCCAACCAACAGAATATAGCAAACAATTCTTTATGACTTTTGATGCCAGGTCTTAAAAGGTCATGCAGGTCATTCTTCACTCACTGTAGCATTCTCTGTAGGAGGCCTGAAACTCTTGACTACCATACTGCAAAAGCCAAATATCAGCAATCCAGTCAACAATCACAGCTGAACTCTGATGTAGCCATCCTTGTCAAGGCACTAAACATGTGCTGTTCTTGAATTTATTAATCATTTCATGCCTTAAAAATTCTTCCTGGGGCCAGCAAGTGGCATAGTGGTTAAAGTCACTGGACTCTCACATGATCGACAGCAGTTCAAGTCCTGGACCTGGTGGTTTGTTTTCTCACTTTCCCTCTCTCTGTCTCTCTGATCAAACTAGAAAATAAAAATAAATAAACTTATATAAAATAATCTTTTTAAAAATTCTTCCTTAATCCAAAGTCTTTAAGATACTTTTATGTTACTATCTTACAAAATGTTATGGTTCTGGGAACCAGCAGTTAGCGTAATGGCTATGTTGCTGGACTCCCACGTAGTCGACAGCAGTTCGCGTCCCAGACCCAGTGGCTTAAAACTTACTCCGGGCATGTGTGCATGCGTGCCCCAAGATCCCAAGAGGAGAATGGAGGAGAAGGAATTGTGGCGTGACCATCCCCCCTGGGGGGTGATTTCTCACTTTCTGTCTCTATGTCTCTCTCTGTCTGTCTGGCGAGCGCATGCGCCTTATAGTGAAAACCTCTCAAAAAAAAAAAAAAAAAAAGTTATGGTTCTATCTTATAAACTTGCATCTTCAAACTATATAAATTCGGGGGGGGGGGATGACTGGAATTAGTGATCTATGGTTTATGTGCTGTTAGGAGGAAGATAAAGACATTAACTTGAGATTCAGACTAAGTTAAGTATGCATGTTAATTTATAGGATAACCTCTAAACAACAGAAATAACTTCTGGCTAAAGTGAACTGGCAGATTTCTTTGAGTTTGAGGAAATATGCACATAACATTTTCTATGTTTCAGATGCCAAGAGTAATTTCCAAATTATGTACCACAGCAACAATTTATACACACCTCTGTGACCTCGTGTATTCTTCACTACCATTGGGAACTCCAGTACTTCTGCTTCATCGATCATTTTCGCAAAATTTTCATGGCCACCTGGTTTGAAGAAAAAAGCAATTTAAGGACAGTAGCAGAAGTATTCAGTAATCAACTCTATCTACATTAAAGACAGCAGCACAAGGCAGAAGGTAAGAGCATAATGACTAACTTTTGCTTTTGGTAGAGAAGGAAATATAAGAGGAAAGTAAAGGGACCAGCAGTTGGAGCAATGGCTATGTTGCTGGACTCCCATGTAGTAGACCACGGTTTAAGTCCCAGACCCGGTGGCTTAAACTCATGCAGGGTGCGTGTGCGTGTGTGCCCAAGATCCTAAGAGGAGAATAGAGGGGAAGAAATTGCGGTGTGGCCATACCTCCAAGAGGTGATTTCTTGCTTTCTGTCTCTCTATCTCTTTCTGGTGAGCGCACATGCCCTATAGCAAAACAAAAACCTCTCCAAAAAAAAAAAGAGGAGGAAAGTATAATTTGAGTATTTGCGTAAAAACACCCATTTTAAAATAGGTAACTGCTATCTTAAACTACATATTTCTATACCAACTTAAAGAAATGATGTGTCTTTTAGCTAAAGTTTACTTAATCTTTAGGAACTATTCTATTTTTTATATCTTTATCCCTTAATCCTCTATCACACAAAGAGCCCCCAAGATTTACTATAATATATTCAACTCCCTGGTTGGATTAAGACATTGAAGAACAAATTGGTCAAGACTTATCCGAGAATGAAGGGATATTGCATACAGAAGCCACCACCCCCTTATGCACATATCCTCTTTTGTTAAACGCATCCCATTTTTCTTATCTCTATTAATCAGAATTCTTCCTACACTGAGGTAACTCAGCATCAGTGGGTTAAGTCTTCCTTATTATTTTCATTGCTCAACAACAAATAATACAATAGCAAAATTAGGGCAAAAATGAATTGCAGTTGCAAAAATTAGCATGATAGTAGACAAAATTAAACCAGGAAAAAGTTTGTTAAACAAACTACAATATAAAAATCTGCAGCTTAGAGAAATTATAGTAATTCAGTGAACAAATTCCAATCCGTTAACATGACAGCAAAGGTAGTATTTGCCGATTTGGTTAAAAACTATTTCCCCCTTTCCATTCTCATAAATTTAGAATTACAGAACCAAAACTAAGCTGTAACACACCAAAAGCATTAGGAAGACAGAATGCGTAGGTTACCGATGTTAACTCTGTCTCTTCTTGTACAGTTGCTAAAAGCAGCAATGGCACCGCACCCACTGGTGCTGTGCAGGCTTAATGAGTTCCTTTCTTTAAAATGTCAACGATACGAGAACAGGGATTTATTTCAAAGCCTCATTAAGTCCCCAAATATTCTATCGGAGATTTACTTCAAGAAATACCTTCATGGAAAACTCTGTACTGATTTATAGGAAGTCTGATCTTTTCCAAACTAGAAGAATTAGGAGGGCAGAAAAAACATTAGTATAATACTGTTTCAGGCAATGCTACTTCAAGTGTAGGTCTACAACCTGTGCCTGTTTGTAACCTGTTTGCTACTGATGTCTGATGAGGTAAGTAAAAAAAGAGTAAGCACTGGAAGCTTTTATAACAACTTGGCATTACTGTGATTTTTTAAATGGATTTTAGATGAATACTAATCCAAGATTGATCTTTAAAAAAATGATCCTTACCACACAATTTTAGAAGTAGTAGTGTAAAATATACCTAGTACAGCATCGTTTTCTTTAAAAATATGAAACTTTTTTTTTTTTTGCTATAGGGTGCGTGCGCTCGCCAGAAAACGAGAAATCACCCCCCAGGGGGGATGGCCACACCACAATCCCTTCTCCTCCATTCTCCTCTCGGGATCTTGGGCACGCACACACATGCGCCCGGCGTGAGTTTAAGCCACCAGGTCCAGGATTCGAACCGCGGTCGACTACATGGGAGTCCAGCGACATAGCCATTACGCAAACTGCTGGTCCCAAAAAATATGAAACTTTAAAAACATATTTTTAAAAATAATTATTTAATTTTATTTATTCATTCGTTTCTAACCATAGAGAGAGACCATAGAGAGAGAGACTCAGCAAGCAAGAGACAGGGAAAGTGAGAAAGCAAGGCACTAGGTCAGCACTAGAACCATGGTCAGCCATGTGGGTGTCCAGCGCTTTAACCATCATGCCACATGTTGGTCCCAAAAAACACCCATTATATTTTTAAAGAAAATGAGGCTATGTACACATACACACAAGAGCATGAAAGAAGGAAAGACAGAAAACATCCCACAAACAGGCCTGATTATACAGCAATCTTTCTTTCCTATAATTCTTTACACCATCAAGGACCACTGGGAATCAAACTTAATCAGACGCATGGGATCCAGCTCCCCCTGTGCAGCATTTAACCTCTGCACTACACGGCCAGTCCCAAAATACGAAAATATTTATAAAGCTTATCATGAAAATGGTAATGAGGATAATGAAAAATCAAACATAGGGAACCAGCAGTTAGCGTAATGGCTATGTCGCTGGACTCCCACGTAGTCGACCGCGGTTCACGTCCCGGACCCGGTGGCTTAAAACTCACGCCGGGCACGTGTGCGTGCGTGCCCAAGATCCCGAGAGGAGAATGGAGGAGAAGGGATTGCGGCGTGACCATCCCCCCTGGGGGGTGATTTCTCGCTTTCTGTCTCTATGTCTCTCTCTGTCTGTCTGGCGAGCGCACGCGCCCTATAGCAAAAATCTCTCCAGAAAAAAAAAAAAAATTAAAAAAAAAAAAATCAAACATATATGTCATAAAATTCTATTGCTTTCTATCTCTCAGATTGGCAAAGGACTGTGGGCCAGATTTGGCCTACTGCCTCTTTTTATAATAAAGTGTTATTGGCACAGAGCCGTATCCCTTTATGTACTGTCTGTAACAGACATCATGCGACAACACTGCTGAGGGTCACCACAGGGAATGTATGGACTATAAAAACCTAAAATATTTACCATTTGGCCCTTCACAGAAGCTTACCTACTACAAATCATGGAACTAATTATAAGACATGTTTCATAAATCTCTATCCAGTATGTTAATACTGAAAGTCACTTCTATAAGCAGTTCTTTCTTGTTCGCAAATTTACCCTATTAAGTTTAGTGTGGTTTTAAACATTATCAGTGTTCTAACACTTAAACTATACATTCTTCTTAGTGAGCTCACCATAAGAAAAAGTATCTGGCAGAGGAACGCCATGGCCAGCCAATTCTTGAAACGTCCAGAACTTATTAACACAATTGAGGATGGCTTGAGGTCGGTTCATCAACCGGCATCCCATCTTCTCTAGATGGCGCAAAACAGTGATGTCACTGTCACTTTGCACCCAAGGGGTTGGAACTCTCACTACCACCACTTGGGGATAGGCAGTGATTAGTTCTCCATTGATTCGTAGACCTGAAATACAGAAACCAAGACAAAACCATTAGAAAGGAATATACAATATAATAGAGAAATTGTAATATACCAAAGCATGGATCACAAAACTAACTAAATATATTATTTCACTAATACTGATTTGGGACAGAGAAATTCTTCTGTGAGAAAAGATATTTAATTAGACAAACCTCAGGGCCTGGGAAGATATTTAATTAGACAAACCTCAGGGCCTAGGACCAGCAGATGGCATAATGGTTATGTTGCTGGACTCCAACGTTGTTGAGGGCAGTTCAAGTCCTGGACCCGGCAGCTGACCAAGATCCCGAGAGGAGAGTGGAGAAAAAGGGATTGCAGCATGGCCATCCCCTGGGGGAGAGGGGTTATTTCTTGCTTTCTGTATCTGTCTCTCCAATGAGTGCATTTGCCCTAATAGCAAAAATATCTCTCTCTCAAAAAAAAAAAAAAATATATATATACATATATATAAACAAACATCTTAACTCTCAACTTAAATTGTTCATGTAGAGGCCAAAATGTGGCATGATGGTTAGGGTGCTGGACCCCCACATGGGCCAACCCCAGTTCAAATCCTAAACCTAGTGCCTTGCTTTCTCACTTTCTCTTTCTCTGTTTCTCTCTGGTGAGCATGTGCAGGTAGGGAAAACTATGTTTATCTTACCTTTATGGGGGAACTATCACTCATTACCAGTAGAGAAATTTCCACTGGAGAAGAATGCCAATTAATAAATCACTGAGAGTGGCAAGATGTCATTAAGTGCTTCCTGGCTAATACGTACTATGGAGTACATACCTTGCCTATGTGCAAACTGAATATAATCATGACAAGTAAAAAAAAAAAAAATTAATGCTGAGTATTCATACTTCAAAATCTGTTTTTGATACTCAGTTTTTCACTCTTCTTTTTTTTATTAAGAGAGGTTTTTGCTATAGGGCGCGTGCACTCACCAGAAAGACAGAGAGAGACAAAGAGATAGAAAGCAAGAAATCACACTCCCACACACCAGGGGGGATGGCCACGCTGTAATTCCTTCTCCTCCATTCTCCTCTCAGGATCTTGGGCATGCATGCATACGTGCCCGGCGTGAGTTTTAAGCCACCGGGTCTGGGACACGAACAGCGGTCGAATACGCTAACTGCTGGTCCCGTCACTCTTCTTTTTTTATGATTTCTCATCTTTGCTCTTGACAGCACCAAAAGCCCAATGTTGTTTCCCCACTGCCCCACTTCTCCTGCCATTTACATTTTAGGTGCCATTACCATGGAACTTGTAACAATGTAAAATTATTTACATCAGTTCATCTTAGAGAGGGAGAACAGACTAAAAGGTAAAATAGCCTGCCAAAACTGCAGAACTAGAATTCTAATATGTTTTTTTTTCTCAAACTGTGAGTTCTAACTGGAAAAAGCAAGGCGTCATTACAAAAGATTTATTTTCAGCTTCAGAGCTGTTAGATTCATAAACAAAATTTTGTTAGATTCATGAACAAAAATTTTGTTGTTTACATCAGTAGTCCAGAAAACCGATCCATTATTTAACCGACAGAGATGTTGAATTCATCACAGAAAATGAATGGTATTTGCCATATGTAAAATTTCAAAAGTGGAAACACCAAGCAAGGGACCAGCAGTTAGTATAATGGCTATGTTGCTGGACTCTCATGTAGTCGACCGCGGTTCAAGTCCTGGACCCGATGGCTTAAACTCACGCTGGGCGCATGTGCGTGTTTGCCCAAGATCCCGAGAGGAGAATGGAGAAGGAATTGGGACATGGCTGTCCCCCCTGGGGGGTGATTTCTCACTTTCTGTCTCTTGTCTCTGTCTTTCTGGTGAGCGCACCTGCCCTATAGCAAAAACCTCCCCGCCCAAAAAAATAAATAAATAAATAATACAAAACAAAACAAACAAAAAAAAAAAACCAGCACAGCAAACAAGAAAGGAACAGGCCTCAGAAGACACCTTCATGGTTCCTGAGAACTAACGATTTCAGGGAAAAAAGAAATGAAGATTTCCTACTGATAATTCAGCCTCTAGCCCGCAAACTCCAGTGGTAAAAGCTCCCTTCAAGCCTTCTCTCCATTTCCTTTTCTGCTCGCTCCTGGACGCTCAGATTGAACTTCAAGTTTAGGAAGAAACACACCATCCATCAGATGACTAGAAATCACCGCAGGACCACAAGAAATATGGGAAAGCAAGAAAATACCTCTCCTCCAAGGGAAAAGAGTAACTCCTCTTCATCCATAGACAGTTCAATAAAATCATGGAAATGTCTGATAAAGAATTTAGAATATTCATCATGGTGAAGCTAACAGATGGAAGAGAAGAGAGCCAATGAACTGCAGAAGAGAAAGGAGAAAGGAGCTGATGAGTTCTAGGAGGTGAGGAAATTCTTCTAAGATCTAGAAAAAGAATTACACACTTTACAAAAGAATCAAATACAACTGTTAGAGATGAAGACTATAATACAGAAAGTCAAAATCTCTCTTGAAAGTATTAAAACCAGACTAGATCATACAGAAAATAGAATCTCAGATGTAGAAGAGAAAATTGCTGACCCAGAAAAATCCACCACGAAGACTGAGAAAATTGCCCCAAAAGTTTGAGAATAATATACGAGAAATACTAGATACCATCAAACATCCAAACATCTGGATAACTGGCATTCCAGAAGGTGAAGAGACTCACAAGGGCATTGATAATCTATTCCATGAAATCCTGCAAGAAAACTTTCCAAACCTAGAGAGGCACTCAAAGATCCAGTCCTAAGAAATACAAAGGAGCCCAAGTAGAATCAACCCAAGAAGATCTTCTCCAAGACACATTATAGCCAGACTGGCCAAAACCACAGACAAAGACAAGATACTAAGATTGGCAAGAGAGAAACAGCAAGTTACCTACAAAGAAAGGAAATCCCATTATACTAACAGCAGACCTCTCATTGGAAACAATGTGAGCAAGGATAGAATGGGAAGGTATATTCAAAGTGTTAAGGGAAAAGCAATTTCAGCCAAGAATACTGTACCCGGCAAGATTATCCTTCATATGAGAAGAAAAGACAAAAACATTCTCAGATAAACAAAACCTGAAAGAATTTACCAGCATCAGACCAGATCTCCAAGAAGTGTTCAAGGGAGAACTTGAGAACTTCTATGTCAGGAAAATTAAATGTAGTCACCCAGACCTAAGAGTTCAAAAACTAAGAAAATGGCCAACTTAATCACAGGGACAAGTCTGGAGTTGAATATTATATCCCAGAATTCAATTGGGAATATTGAACTACAACAGAAGACAGATTAAGTACATGAGACTGAACTGGTGAAATCGCATTCTATGACATTTGACGAAAATATTGCTGCTTTTCTTCTAGGCTTTGTTGTCCAGTTTTAAGAGTTTTTGTCCTGTCTTCAGCTGTCAATAGGTTCATGTACCTACTATTTGAACAGAATACTAACCTGTTTCTAGGCTTTAAGTTTTAAGCAAATTTCCTTACCAACTCAAAACCGCTTTTCTTGAAATTACCAGCTGAACTTGCTACTGAAAGTAGCTAAGATTATTTAAGAAATTGTGTGATCAATAAAATGTGGGGGGGAAAGGAATGGAAGACAACTGTAGACACCAGGGATAGTATGAGAAGAGGGTGGGAAAAGGCAGAGGGTCAGACATAGGGGTAAATATAAATAGATAAATGAATAAATGAAACTAGAAATGGAATATTATTGATGATAACATGCATGATTAAGCCACTATGCATTATATTCTGGATGGGAAACCACTTTTTGTATGCTGTGACGATAATTAGGGGATGAGTGTAAATTAATTAAAAAATGTTGAGAGAAAAAAACCCACGAAAACTATTTTTCTTAAAATAAAAAAATGCATATTTGATGAATGCAGTAAGCTACATAGTCTCAGCTAGGTGTTACTTTATAGTATGTTCATTCTACTAGTGAGGTTTATGCCTAAAGTCAGACTTGTGTTCATGGAAATGTATATATCAGCTGCACTTGCTACTGAAGTATTTAGATTAAGTTCATTAGCGAATAAATAAAATGGAGGAAAAAGGCATAGAAAGTAATGATGGATACCAGAGACAGTGAGGGTGGAGGGTTAGACACGGCAGAGGGTGAGAGAGAGGGAATCAAGGATGGCAAAAATAACAAAATACACAGGAAACAAGAAAGGGAAAATTATTTGTTGACGATAACACATATGTTGATGTGCTTGAGCCAATATACAGTGTATATTGAGCTAATATACAGTGTATTCTGGATGGGAAATCTCATTTTGTTTGTTGTAATCATGTATAGTGAATGAATATAAAATAAATAAATTTAAATAAATTTTAAAAAAAGATATACAGAAAAAAAAATCACCAAATACCCCAGCAGGCTAATTCTGAACATTACTGAGATATTTGGGTCACTAGAAGTATGTTTTCCAATTAATTTGCACTAAGACATTAAGAAAAGGGTTCGGCAAGAATGTTCAGGCCATGCAGAACTGATGCCTACCATAAATGCTAATCTGTCTTTGTGTTTATCTAACATATTAGAGATATCCTCTTCAATTTTCTACTTTACATCACTGGTTTGTTTCCCACTGTCAAGTTCCAAACTAATCAAAAATGAAGGAAGAGGGAACCAGCAGTTAGCATAATGGCTATGTCGCTGGACTCCCACGTAGTCGACCGCAGTTCATGTCCTGGACCTGGTGGCTTAAAATTCACGCACGTGTGCGTGCGTGCGTGCCCAAGATCCCGAGAGGAGAATGGAGGAGAAGGGATTGCGGCGTGACCATCCCCCCTGGGAGGTGATTTCTCACTTTTTGTCTCTCTGTCTCTTTCTGTCTGTCTGGCGAGCGCATGTGCCCTATAGCGAAAAACCTCTCAAAAAAAAAAAAAAAGAAGGAAGAAAAAAGAGAGCAGGACAATTGGTAATAGGAATATGTGGTACCAGTGGTCCCAGGAATTGCATAAAACATTAAAATATCTTCACCAAATC